ATGAAGATGAAGATGAAGATGAAGATGAAGATGAATATGTAGATGAATATGAACATGAACATGAACATGAAAATGAACATGAACATGAATATGAACATGAACATGAAAATGAACATGAACATGAACTTGAACATGAACATGAACATGAAGGTGTAGATAAACATAAACATAAACATAAACATTAAAAGCGATAGAGACAAAGATAGAGAGGAAGAAAGTGATAGGGATAAAAAGGAAATACAACTGAAGAATGTTATATTGTGATGTGTTATGCTACATATGTTATGTTATTGAATCTAATGCTATTCTATGTTATGTTATGCTAAGTACTAAGCTAAACTCCCCTCCACTTAACCCATTCCAACAAATTTTATTTCAGCTCAACTAAACTCACATAAATTATCCTTAATTTTAGCGGTTGAATTTCAACCGCTGGGCGAGCCCTAGTAAATATAACACGGTGCTACAAAAAAATCACGAAATACACCCAAAAACTTAGTGTAGGTTGTAGGTAGGGTCGAAATAGGTTTCTTATACTTCCGGAACCCTACACTTTTAATTTATTTAAAAACAACCGTTATGTTCGTACTGGATGCACCTACATCGAGAAAAAAACTCTACATCCAACAATTTTATCTGCATTTGGAACAACTTTTATTGGTTAAATCGTACCCAACAACTACTCGCATTTGAAGCAACAGCACAAAGACTGTTGATTTTTTTTACTAAATTAACACAACAATTTTTGCATTTAGAATAAAAGTGTATACATTTTTGTTTTAAATACTTTTTATTTGAGTTAACTGTCGAAGTCGTTACTACAAAAATATGAAGCTGTTGAATCAAATACTTGGACTTTGAGCTTACATATTTGATTCAAATATTAATTTGTTGGTAAAAGTGAAGTGAAAATTGTTTGGAAAAAAACGCAATTTTTTTGGCTTACACTGAGAAAAATTTTAATGTAAACTAAATTGATTAGTTTTGGTTTGAAAAAACTTTTCACTTAAACGTTTTAAGTATTTTCATATGTATAAAATGTAATTATGTAAACAATGTAAGTTTATTTTGTATATATTTGGAAATTAAAAAATAATTATTGCAATAAGTTCTGATAAGTTATTAGATTTTTATGTTCCTCATTGAAATGAAAAATCAAATTTTTTGACAGAGTGAAGTGAGTTATTACAAATAGAGCAAATATGAGCATTGGTGGAATAAGTACTTCTCATTGGACTTTATTTAATTTAGAAAAAATATTTTGGTATTTTGGAATTTTCTCTTCAGAAGAGATTTCAAATATAATTTCTTGTAAAAAAATCCACACATATTTGCTCTTTGCTGAATATTCTAAATTAAATATGAAACACATTTTTATTACCAGGTCCAGGGCGCGAAGTGAGGGTGTTACCTTGTAGCGTAAGCCATCCAAATAGACATAAAACTGTGACAGATTTTCGACTGAATGACCAATAACAAATGGCAAAGTCCTTCATTTCGTCTTCTTTTTGTTTGAAATTATTTCAATTTACTAAATATACTATCATGTCGTTTTGAGCGTCAGATATTGATGGCTTGGATATCTTACTGATTCGCGGAGGTAATAATATTGACTGCAGCAAATTGAACGAATAAAAGTCTTTTGAATCTAGGAAATAATACGATGTAATATTTATTAAGGACATGATAATATAAAGCTTCTCAATACTTACTTCTATTGATACCCTTTGACTGCGATGACGGTCCCGCTGTTAAAAATTTCATCAATATCGTGAGTGTACATCATTTTTAATATCTCCACGGATTTAATTGAACACTCAGACAAAATTTGTAGGCTTCGCTAGATAATCCCTATTCCAAGTATATCATTTTCAAGTTCAATATAAGATATTGGAAGTCGCTGGCTTTCAAATGAATTTTCCCAAATTTCTTCGGACACATTTATAATATTCAAATCCATATTTTTAAACTTGAAAGGAACGTCTGTTTCGTAAAACAATTGCCACAGAAATGACGCGACTTTAATTTTCTCAACAAGCTCTGCGGTAACTCAAATTACGAATGCGGGTGTCACAAAAATTTTACTTTTAGAAGTACCAATACTTCTTGTGAATTTCGTTGTTGGCTTAAAGATTCACTTTTAAATCAACAGCGTGGCTTTTGGAACTGAAATTCAACAGCGAAAATTTTTAATCCAACAACTTTACATTTGTTGTCAACAGTTTTACTTTTGTTTATTTTTAACAGCGTGTCAACACGATATTCTTGTATTAAAGTTTTTCTAGTTGGGGCAAGTACTTTTTCCTTACAATTTTACTAGAGCTAAAAGTATTTGTTTCAAATGTGGTTTTTTTCTCGGTGTTTCCAAAAAAACCGTTTTTGTTCAATTTGGTTAATGATCTTTTTCAGTATTTCTTTAATTTAGGTGTATAATTTTTCTGCTTTTAAACTGAAAATCGAAAATTCCCCGGCAATGGATAAATATTTTGCAATTCGTCGAGATAAGAATAAAATTGTACGGCGTACCACAAATTTCAAATTAACTACTCAATTTTTGTTTGCTGATCTAGTAACCATGTATAATCGATTGTGAAGTCGATTGTGAATATTTAAATTTCGTACAAAGTTTGAAACTTGGATTTATATGTCGCTTGTTAAAACATAACCCATATTTTAATAAAAAAAATTTAAACAAATATTTACCATGAACAACATTGGAAATATAACAAAACAAAAAACAATCACTGTACACTCCATTCTGAAGTTAATAATATATTTGTTATGTGGGTAGAGCGCGTAGTTTGTACTCAATAAATGTTCAAAATTTTAGACACTAGATGCCTAATAGTTTATATACTAGATACTTATATTTACACACTAAGTACTTATCTTTTACACACTAGGTGCTTCCATATTTTAATACTATGAATATAAATACTATTTTAAACTCCTTTTGAGTTATTTAGTACTCAGTTTTATTTAATATTAATATGGTATAGATATACAGCTTACTCGGGCAACGATCGGATATAAAA